GGCTTCAGTGGGTTTAGGGTTTAGGGCTTCGGTGGGTGGGTCTGGGTTTAGGGTTTCGATGGGTTTAGAGTTTAGGGTTTCGGTGGGTCTGGGGTTTAGGGGTTTACGGTGGGTTTAGAATTTAGGGCTTGGGGTGTAGAGTTTCGGGTTTAGGGTTTCGGTGGGTTTAGGGTTTAGGGCCTGGGGTTTGGGGTTTAGGCTTTAGTATTTAGGGTTTCGGTGAGTTTGTTTAGGGTTCATAGGAATGCTTGCGACGAGTGTAGTAGGGTTTGGGCTTGGGCCATGATGGTTTGGGGGGTGGGCAGAAACCGTGCCGCGTTTTGGCTGCAGTTTTCGGCAGTGGGACTAGGGGTTCAGCGGTGCTTGGAGTGTGCAGCTAACGATTAATATAAGGGCCTTAATAATTAGAACAGGGTTTGGGGGACCCCTTATACTATGAGTATAATAAGGAACAAGTCTTTAGGCCCCTATATTACAAGGTGGCTCGGGGCAAGACCAGAGGTTCAGGGCAAGAACCTATTCAGGTTGTGGGGTTCGGGGTCAGGTACTCCCGAGGTCAGCCTTGCGACCGAATCAAGAAGCAACAAACAGAGAGAACACGGCTAAGGTTTAGGGTTTAGGGTTTCGGGTTGCGGGTTTTAGGGTTTAGGGGTTAGGGAATAGGCCATGCATTGCAGATTCTGTCAAGGATTGTGCTCTAGTGCAGGAGATACCGGAGTACAGGCATCCAGCGGGTTTGCAACAGGGATTCCGGCGACCATACGACAATACAGCTGCTTGCATACCAAAGCCCCTACCACGCTGTTTGTGGCAATAGCAAGTCAAGCATAAAGACACTATAGTAGCAGGATCAGTCTCCCTTTCAAGATTTTCAAGCTATACCCAGACCTTCCGGTATCCTTTAACGAATAACTGAGGTCTATGTCCTTATTTTGAGAGAGATTGGAAGGTCTGGGTACTGTAGAGATGGCAATGCCACAAGCCGCTGCAGCCCCAGCGTCATTTCGGAACAGGAGCAGTCCGCAGATGTTGACGAAGGACTCGAGCTGCTCCTAGTTAGTTAGGGGTTTAGGGGTTTAGGGTTTAGGGCCTATTTAGGGTTTAGGGTCTAGGTCTGCATGCTTCTTACCACAAAGTCTCGCGCTTGGCATTGGCTAGTCATCTGAACTCCTTTTTCCCGAAGGGTTTAGGATGCAGTGGCAAGTACTACGAAGTGTCGCGCTTCCTGTCTTCCGGTTGGCCCACACCGCCTGTTACTCCAAAGAAACCAGAGGCCCCATGCAGCATTGGACAAACACCCTACGTAGTCACCCGGACGGTAACATGTCCGCGTTTTGGCATAGGCTGTCTCAAAACAGAAGAGAGTGAGACAAACATCGCTCTCCGCTCTTACTGACTCTTACTATCCTAAACCCGAAGTCGTCGAAGCCCGCTCAGCAACAATGACTACAGATTTCGCCTTCGAACTCATTCTCTCAGCCCTCGAGTCTAAACCCCAGCTCCGCCAATTCAATCTGTCCAATCTGCAATCCATCTCAAGGTCCGAAAACCAAAAGACGAGCTCGTTTCGCAGCAAGTGGCACGCGGCGTGTTGCGGACCTGCCAAACAACCCTAAAACTGTGGGGACGACTCGACATGTATCTGTCTCCTGCGCTTGGAGTGATGTGGGTCCCAAACAACTACCCGGGCCAGCAGGCCAGTAGGGAGGCCTCTTTCCGACTCTCCTTCCCAACTGACTGTCGGATCAGCATCAAGTTCAAACAAAAAACACAAAATCAACTCTGGTGCCTGCTCGTCAGTCATCGGTGGCAGCTCCTGTATCATCCAGCTTTGATTTGCTTGGCAAAAAGCAGAGGCAATCTATTGAAGCTCGCAGGGAAGCTGTAGATCTTCGGACCTCGGATTAGTGTAGTCACACGAGGTTTGATGTTTGAATGCAGGTCCTTGTAGGAGATGCCGAGGGTGTAGTAGTTGTCCTTGGCACACTGCATGGTCACCTGTCAAAGACACCAGCAGCCACTCCATGGATCTCCCTTAAGACCGGGGTCGAAGTGTCGATCTAAGCTGAGTCCGGCCGGGGCGGGAGGAATGTAGAGGTTCAGAGCTTGGCTCACAGACTTAGACGTGTCATTGTTATCCTTGTTTGGGCAAGGGCTTTGTGAAAGCAGACACTAAGTCCGACGCCTTCGCGACCGGGCGGACTCTGTGTCGTGGCACGTGCTTCAGCTATGCTATCTGGGTCAGCCCTTTAAGCCGAAGCAACAAGTCTGATCAGTACTTAGGCACAGGAGGACAAATTCATTCGCAGGGGTGAGTCCTAAACCTCAAACGCTCAGAAGCTGTAAGCAACTAGTTGGAAGTACAGGTGGTTTAGCGAGGCTGGGTATCAAGGCCCGACACCCCAACACAGAAGTTTTCGAACGACTCTACTAGTTCATGGTTGGGGTAGTATTAAAAATCTACATTTATATTCCTTATTGGGTTTAAGTACCCTTAAAAATGTAAAATGTTACCCAACTATGACAAAGTCTATATTGCGAGCCCGTTATTCAGACCCCTGTGACCCTAAACCGCCTAGACCCTGCACCCCAATAAAACTGATGCTGTCCCAGGCCTGGTCGTAGTCCGCCGGCACCGAAGCAGGTTGAGCAACGGACTGGCGGAAAAGCTTGGGAAGTTCAGGAAACCAACAGCCTCCAGATGACCTTGTGATGGAAACCCTAAACCCTAAGCGCTAAACCCTAAACCCTAAACCCACTTGAAGGCGTGCGAGATGGACTGTGGAAAGAAGCGAGGCAAAACTGGGTCGGAATATCCTATTGCTCCTGTATGTTCTTATATACCAAACCGTACAAAGCCTCCTAGAAATGCTACAAAGGCGTCTACCTGCAGCTTTCGGATGCTTTGCCTTGATCTTCTCGTAGCTGCCCTTGATGAAGACCTGCCAGTCTCCCCACGCTTGCACTTTCTGAGCCTTCTCTCTACAAGGCTTGAAGAAAAGGGGATTTAACATTTCTTTTCTCTTTGATGGCTTGCAAAGGCCTTGAAACGGGTTTTTGTATGGTTGCCCTAAACCCCTAAACCCTGAACTCTAAGCCCTAAACCCTAAACCCTGAACCCTAAACCCTGAACCCTAAACCCTAAACCCTAAACCCTAAACCCTGAACCCTAAACCCTAAACCCTACTACGTAGGGGCGCAGAAGGCTTCACGGCTCACGGGGCTTCGGCCTTCGGGTTTCGGGATAGAAATCTCGCGCTTGGGGGATACCTTGGCTTGGTCTTAGGGTCTGGGGGGTTTAGGGATTAGGCTTTAGGG